ATTTCCGCCCCTCGTGCCCCCAAAAAGAAAGTGATTGCTTGTGACAGTGCAGGGGTTTAACAGAAGCCAACTGGTAAATATTCAAGAATTGTGCAAACTGGATTTTAAACCTTTAATCGCCATGGTGGGATCTCACCCCTCAGACGTCGGCAAACCTACAATCCGGGGCTTTCTTTCCTTCCTAAGAGTCTGAACAGCCCACCACTGGGTTTGCATAAACGACCGAACTGATAATAGGGATTATCTCAGGAAGAGGTGGGAGGTGTTTCACTCCCCCGTTTGTTAATTTTTAAAATTGGTGCAATTACAGCCTTTTTCATAGTTCTTCATTATTTTCCAGATATTTAAAAAGTAATGAATGTAAAACGCACCCCAGCTTGCTGGGATCCCCATTCTCAGGGCTCTCTCGCGGCTGCAGCATCATCCCCTGCGCACAGTGGCCCCCCGGTAACGGGCCGCTCATCACTGACGACGCTGCTGGGCACCGGGCGGCCCAGGCCAGCCAGACGGCGGAGGCCCCCGGGGAGGCTGGGCACGCTTCCTTGGGAGAAGACCTCCATCAGCTGCAGTCTGAGCCTCGGCCCTCATGCCTCATCTGCTACAATCATTATGAATCATACTCGGAATGTCAGGCAACTAGGAGAGCGTCTCCGGGGCCCGCCGGCCCTTCCCCCTGTGCCGTCACAGCCAGAGAATGTTCAGGGGGCGGAGGGGTGGGGGCTGAACTGCAGGCAGCAACACCAACTCATCGCTCAGCCGATGTCAGGCTTTCTCATGTGTAACGTCCTGGCTAACACACTCACCACGGCCCACGGAGCGTGGACGTGGGAAGGGGGGCTACTGTCCAGCAGGCTGGCCGGAGGCCCGACGGTGGCCTGGCCAAGGCTCCCCGCAGCAGACACTCCCTGGTGTGGCCGGATTTCACTGCTGTCACCACCTGGAGCACAGATTTTTTCCACCTGGAACATTCTGGCCTCTATCCCCCGGGGCATTGCTCCAAGGCTCCCTTTCCCTCTGTGACCTCTCAGCACGACGAACACGCAGGCTAGCACTCCGTGGAGCAGGGAAGGCGTCATCACACGGAGCAGCGAACCTGCCGTCACTGGTGGGGCCGGACATGCCATCATACGGATCAGTGAACGCCAACATGACACGGTGTCCCGAAGAGGGTCGGCCGAGAGCCAGGCTGCAGGGGTTCCTGGGGGCTTCGGGGAGCCTAATGGTGGAGACAGAAGCACAGATGGACAAGCTGCTCCCTTCCACGGGAGAGCCTCTGTCCACCCCCAGCCAGGTGCCTGGCATAGAGCAGCTGATCGTGATGTGACTGCAGATCCGTGGGCCGTTTTATCTGAATGTTTACGGCACTTGTATCTTTCCTTATCATAGCCTCCTGCCCTGGAAACAATCTCCATCCTGCCCCCGTTTCCCAGAAGGTAGCCCTTTCTCCACATCGCTGGGATGCTCAAGCAGCGGGCTCATGAATTCTCTGCACGTGCTACAGTTCCTCCAGCCACTCCCACGCTCTGCGACATTAAAGCCATTTCTGGTTTTTCGCTCTTACAAATACCACGACGGCCAACATCTTTGTGCATAAGCACAACGGGATTCTGAAAAGTAACTGAAAAAAAAAATCTACCTATTTTTGATCGTTATGTTAATCTCATACGACAGTTAACCCGCGGCTTGGTCAGGTGTGGCATCATCCCTGACACATGGAGAAATGAGAACACTCGTGACCCGGCTCCTGTCTGCCGGGTGACAGGCCAAGGCTGGCTGCCAACATAAATGAGGGAGTCGGGGTCCAGGTTTTAGCCATTCATGCTAAAAAGTGAAGGAGAAGGCGGCTGACACATTCTTACTATATTATGAACGAGACGGCTGAATTCAGGGGTCTCGTGAACCTTCCCACCACCTCTCCTACCCACCACCATCACCACAGCCCCAGAACACTGAAAGGTCTCTTTGGCATGGCCCGGGAGAAATCCACACACAAAGTTTGGAAAAACAGCACTCTGAGAGCTTGATATAATAGGGTCAAGAGGCCTTAACTCAGGACAGGGACATCTGGATTTGAGATTTGCCAAGTTTGTTTCGGACTCTCCAAAATTCCTTCGACCTGTCTGAGTCTCTATTTTTCCACCTAGAGGCAGTAGGGTGATGACCAGAAGATCTCTGGGGTCCCCTTTCTGATGTTCTCTGAGGCTCTAGAACCCAAGCAGAAGGGAGCTGCCAACCCAGGAAAGGCAGGAGCCTGGTGGTCTCACCTGGACCAGGAAGCTGGACCCTTTGGATGCAAGGCCCCATAGTACTGGAGCTCTGATGCTGGAAGCTACCATGGTCTGGGCCAGGACAGCGGCTTCGTGTCACCTGTGTGGCTTGTTGAATTATAAGTGTCCTGAGGGCAGGGCATGGTAGGACTCCTCTTCGTCTCCCTTACAACACCAGTGATGTGGTGAGTTAGGTAGGAGAATTCATTCTGTATCCTTTGTGACAGCAAACAAACAAACAAAACTGAACGTGATCTAAAAGATACCAGCAAAGGGCAAGTTAACATAAATCATGATTCAGCTATGACAGTGAGCCATTATGCTTATGACCGAGAGCTGTCCTTAATAACATAGAGAGATGTCCACCACATATTCTCCTGGGGTAAATTAATTACAGGACCACACGGATGGATGTGTGTGGCCAAGCATGCCCATGAGGGGTATATATGTGCTGTCTTCGGAAACCTCTGGGTCTTGGGAATTTAGGTAAACTTTTAAACTTTACCCTTTGTCCTTTTCTGACTTACTTAGTTTTTTTTTTTTCATAATTAATAAGCATTCCTACCTAGTAGTATCTAAGGTAGGGAATGGCAAACCACAGCCTTTGGGCCAAATCTCCCCACCACCCGCGTTTGTTGGGCCCATGAACTAAGAATGCTTTGGAGATTTTTTAGTGGCTGGGGGAAAAAAAAATCTGAAGATTTCAGTGTGCAAAAATGAGGCTTTATTGAAGCACAGTCATAACCAGTTGCTATGTATTGTCCATGGCTGTATTTGTGTTATAATGGCACAGCGCGGCAGCCACAGAGACCACACAGGCCCCATGGCCTTAAATATTTGCTCTCTGGCCCTTTGCATAAACAATCTGGAGACCCTGGTGTAAGACCTCACCAGCTCTGGAACCCTGTGCAAGAACCCTGCCCCAGAATGGCAGCTCCCCAGGTTTCTGTGGCTCACACTTGACTGCCATACAGAGTCAATCCTCACTACTGTCAGGATTCCGAATTGTGAATTTGCCTACTTGCTAAAATTTATCTGTAACCCTAAGTACATGGCCCTTTCCCAGTCATTTTCAGATATTTCCAGGGCGGCAAAAAAAAAAAAAAATTGAGCTGTCCGACTTGCATGTTCTCCGCTGAGGTTGGACAAGGTGACACTCTACTCCTGTCTCAGCTCTCGTACGATAAAGAAGTCTCTTTTCTGAGGTCAATGTGGTGCCACGTTTTCCTCATTTTCGCTTCTTTTCTGGGTGGTTTTGCTGTTGAAAAGGGCCTCTAAGCCCAGGGCCTTACTACTGTGTTCCTGAGCAGAGACACAATGATGTGCCTCCTGGAGGAAAGATGTGTGTGAGATAAGCTTCATTCAGACTATGAGTTACACTGCTTTTGGCCGTGAGTTAGTTCAATGCTCACGAATCAACAATATGTATCAAAGATAGTGCCTTTGATCAGAAACGCACATAAAACAGTTAATGGGGCAGCCCAGGTGGCTCAGCGGTTTAACGCTGCCTTCAGCCCAGGGCATGATCCTGGAGACCCGGGATCGAGTCCCACGTTAGGCTCCCTGCATGGAGCCTGCTTCTCCCTCTGCCTGTGTCTCTGTGCTCCGCGCCGCACCCCCCCTCCCCGTGTCATTCATGAATAAATAAATAAAATCTAAAAACAAAAACAAAAACAAAAAACCCCACAATGTTATATATTGACTGGTCAGTGAAAATGTTGTGGCCAGAGGCCCCCAGACCCTAACCCTCTACTTCCCCCTGGGGCGATGATTCAGAATTCACTAATTCAGTGTCTGCCTCCACTTTATACAACATAACTATGGCAACTAATGAGAATCAATTATACTTGCTTTCACAATTCATCCTATCACCACCACCTTAATTCCCACCAAACTATGAGTTCCTTGGGGCCAGGGACTGTGACTTGCTCCTATCTGTACCTGGGACACCATGACAGGATATGCCAGGCACCCTTTCACCTACCCCATGGTGAGGCCAGGGCAGAATAGAAAGGACTTACGCTCCCCTGCATGCTCCCCACGTCTCCAGCCTCCCCTCCACCAGGTGACAGCACAAAGTGGCTGTTGAACCTCACAATCCTCTTTTAGAGAATGGGGATCATACGGCACCTGCCTTGGTTTGTTGAGGGGACTCAGTGAGCCAGCACACGTGAGCACTTGGCTCCTGGGCCCCTGTGAGCAGCCAGTGAGCTCTTATTACTGGAGAAACTTCAGGGGTCCCTTTTTCTTTCTCAGGAAACTGTCACTATGCTTGACCACATTCTACCGAAAAACCCCTTTCCACACATTGAACCCAAGCCTTCTTGTAGATTCTGCTGAGTTCTCGGTAGAAACCTCTAAAAAGGAAAAGCAAGTAGCCACACAGTCCAGTAGGAACCATCATGAACTTGTCAATCCATCAACACTTTTGGGCAAAGCACTGCGACAGACACAGAAAGAGACAGACCTCTCCCTAATCCCATCCCCAAATATCAAACATGTAGCCTTTGAAGACAAATATACAGAAAAGATCCATTACCCTGTAAGGTGAAGCTACTTAGAAAAGAGTAGGGGGAATATAATTCTACAGTGTGTTCATAAACCCAAACTTACTTGTATGCAACCCTAAAGCAAGGTATTTATGGCAGAAGGGCTCACCAAGTTTATGGTGCCCCTTCTAGAGCTCATGTACACCTGGGGAGCGGTCACCCAGACAGGGACCACATCTCGCACCTGTTCGCTTCCGAGGAGGGACGATGTGCTCAGTTCTCATCAAAAGCATGCAAGGGGAGTGACTGCATGCCACTTCCAGGACGAGGTGTTTAGGAAGGTGTCCCTCTGTACCTCCTTGTCCCTCCTCTGCCAGCTGGGTAGATTTCAAGGTCGTTGAAAGGATGGCAGACGACGAGCATGGAACACACTTGGGTCTTCCAATCGCTGCAGAGGAGATGCCACCCACTGACCAGGAACATCCCCCGGGGGCTGTTCTGTGAATAAGAAATAGGCATTTTTTTGCACTGAGCTACTAAAATCCTAAGGATCTAGATTTGTTACAGGATCTAGATTTACTTGAAAGGAACAGTCTCACCTTTTTTTTTTTTTTAAAAAAAAAAAAAACAAAAACCTTGACAAGGCTACACTGCTAGTAAGGTGTTATTCCCACTAGGTGCTTAGAAAGTTTCTGAAGCCTAAGACCCAGATGCTGACATGCTAAGAGCTCTCTAAGTGCTCTGAGAGTCCAGATGAAGAAGGGTTCAAGGAAAATACTCTGAAAAACACAAAGCACTCTAGAAATAACCAAGTTGCATTTGTCATCAGCTTCCCTGTCCACATTCCCTTTGCCTAGCCAGGTTCAGTCCTTCTAGAATTTCATTTCCTGTGGAAGCAAAGAAAGCAAACGTGGTCATAGACACAGCTAATGATTCTCAAAGCCTTATAACTTTGAAATGGGCTAAAAAAAAAAAAAGTCTATCCCTTCCACCCCCCTCAGTCTGCACCTCTCCACCCCCATGTCCTGGGTTTAGTTTATTATGAGCACTGCTCATGGCCAGAAGTGGTGCTTCACAGAAGCCAAAGCAATTATCAGAAATGAGTACTAGATGTGACAGGGAAGCCAGATGTGCAGACAGGGGCATTTCAAGGTCCTCATTTCCCTGCTCACAATTAGTCAACTTCTAGCAGAGATGAGAAGCTGAGGCTTTCACAGACTAGGGACCTTCTCTGGCAGCTCCAATGAGGAAGGGCTGCTTTTGCACCAGCACAGAACCCTACAAGGTGTTCATGGATTCAAAACACTAGCTAACCTTCTGCTCAGAGCTGAGGACAATTCCCAGAGAAAAGAAACCTAGTCTGTCCAGCTAATCCCCTTGCATTTGAGGTGTACCTACTATGTGCATCAGGCGGTGACACACATATACTTCCGACCCACACATTTTCAAGGGTCCACCATCCCGCCAGTTCCCATTCTTCAGAGCAGCTGTGATAGTCCAAACCATGTGCGTCTGTATGTCTGTCTTTCCCACAAGAAGGTAAAGGTCTTTGAATCTGTGTGACCCCAGATTTTTCACAGGTTCTCAGGATGTGTTGCTTGAACTGAATTGAACCAAGTGAAGGAAGGAAGGAAGGTAGGATACTGGAATACAAAAATGAACAAAATGCTTTTCCTAAAAGCCCAAGGTCATGATTGTAGATTAATATTGAGGGTGGACAGATAAGTAATCACAGTGAGTCTGAGGACATCAGATGTGTAAACTAAAGAAGTAACGGAGAAGCCATTAGCTCTAGCAGGAGCAGTCTCCCCGCAACGAGTAGGCATGAATTCGGACCATCTGATTCATTACACATTCCACAGCAACCTGGCCCGCCTCACCACAGCACCCCCTGCACATTATTATAACCTTTGTTCATCATCTGTCCCCTTCAAAGACAAAATTCCCCAAGGAGCAGAGACTGCTCTGTTGAGGCCTCTTTCTTTAAGTTGCATGTGGCTACCTTCCTGTCACATCCTCTGATTAGCAGGAGGGAGAGAGAGATTAAGTACTGATCTCTCTTCTTATACAGGACTCTAATCGTATCATGGGGCCCCGCACTCACGACCCCATCTAAACCAAAACACCTCCCAAAGAGCCCATCTCCAAATGCTGTCACTTTGGGGGTTAGGGCTTCACCATATGAATTTTTGGGGAGGGGGACACAATTCAGTCCATAAGACAACCCTCCAAAAGATTCTCTTGTTAAGCAGAAGCAAATCTTTTTTTTTTTTTTATAAATAAATCTTTTTTTTTTAATTTTTATTTATTTATGATAGTCACACAGAGAGAGAGAGAGAGAGAGAGAGAGAGAGGCAGAGACATAGGCAGAGGGAGAAGCAGGCTCCATGCACCGGGAGCCCGATGGAGCCCAATGTGGGATTCGATCCTGGGTCTCCAGGACCGCGCCCTGGGCCAAAGGCAAGCGCCAAACCGCTGCGCCACCCAGGGATCCCAGCAGAAGCAAATCTTATCCAGACACTGAGTACCTCCAATGCCTACAAAGCATTAGTGTTTTATGTGGAGAAAACAAATAAGAATTACCTGCTCTCAAGGCACTTCTGGTCTAAGGAGGGTCTCTACACATAAGAGGCCCCTGCACCCATAAGAAAGAATGGGCCATAGGCAAAGGACAGGAAGTTCACAAGAGAGTCAAAGAGGTCACAACAAGAAAACACAGCTGTGCCCTTTGATTAGCTTTTATTATAGAGGAGGTGATGTCTGAGATGAAATCAGAAGACCCTCTTTCATTCACCACTGACTGACCACCTTCTCTTGCTTACAAGGCTCCAGGCTATAAGCTGCAGATGTAGCCAGGAATGGAACAGATAAACCAGCAGCCTCTACGGAAATGAATTTTGGTTCCTGCTATAGGTGTGGGATCCTTCAAGGTGGGATGGATCATGCAACACTTCTCAGCACCCCTCATCCCAAGCACAGTACCTCATCCCGAGGACATTAAGTAGAGGCTTAATGACATAGCTTGTCAAATAACAAGCAAAAAAGACCTCTCCAAAGTCAGTTTTTATCATCAGAATTAATTAATTTGTATTCCCTAAAGAATGGCCAGGATAGTGTCTCTCTAAATGCCAGAGGCTCACTCACGGATGATTAAGGAGAGCCAGTGGCTCCAGGAGTCCCAGAAACCTGAGCCATCAAAGCCACCATGATGCCGTTCTTGAGCCAACAGAGGGCAAACAGGACTGGACTGGCCTCTTGATGACGACTCATCACCCAAATCCCAGGTCTTGATGACAGGTTCAATCCTGTAAAAATTGAATCTGGTGAAGAAGCTGTGTTGCTGCCCACGGCGCTACAGGTCTTGGGGGAGGGCTGGTGACTGCCACCCCCCCATCAATTATGAGTGCCATGGTGGAAGACCTCTCATAGCTGACAAGGCCAAGGCAACAATGCAAGGTCATAGAAACAGCTGTTGCATTCAGTAAAAGGAGGCTGCCCTCAGCTACCTCAAGTGAGAATTGAGTCAGGACACAGTTTAAGGTACGTCTCTGCTCTGTGGATCCTTGATGAGCAGAATGTCCAAAGAAACTTCCACCAGAGTCCAGAAAAGCAGTTGTACAGGGCGCCAGCTTGAACAAAGTGTAACATCTACTTTTGGGTTCCTCTCAATCTCTCTCAACATTTAGTGAGAGATTGTTGCTATTCAGCCTTGAAAGCACTTTCCCCTTTTCAGTGGACTTTCCTGAAATCATGCCTTTTGAGCTATGGTTCTTACCCAACTCTACTTCCTGTGCCAGAATCTTACTGACAAGAAATTTAAAAGGAACTGGGTGCCAAAATACGCAGTGCAACACTTGTTTTTATTTTCAGCAACCTAAAACATTTTATACTAATATTTATCCTGACATTAATTTAATAATAAAATATTTTATACTAAAATATTGCATATTTTTAGTTCACGTAAAAGTAGGATGCTGGGGCACCTGGGTGGCTCAGTGGTTGAGCGTCTGCCTTTGGCTCAGGTCGTGATCCTGGGGTCCTGGGATCGAGTCCCACATCAGGCTCAGCCTGCTTCTCCTTATGCCTATGCCTCTGCCTCTGTGTCTCTCATAAATAAATAAATACATACATACATACATACTCTTAAAAAAAAAGTAGGATGCTATAGTGTGGCTTCCCCTTGGTCATTTCAAACAATGAAGACATTTGTCTGCATATTTATGCTTACACTGCTCACATCCACACACAATTCATCAGAATTGGCACAACCATTGCTTTTGTCAGATTTGCCAAGTGTTAGATTTTTTAAAATGTATTTCTTAAAACATCATCTTACATTGTTTTATACACACACACACACACACACACACACACACACACACGGAGGCTGTCCCCAACTTAACGATGGTTTGACTTAACGATTTTTCAACTTCACGGATGGTGTGAAAGTGACATGTGTAGACTAGAAAGTGTACTTGTAATTTTGCACTTGGATCTTTTCCCAGGCTAGGGACATACGGCATGAGCCTCTCTTGTGGTGTTGGGCAGCAGCCACAGCTCCCAGTCAGCTAGCAATCACAAAGGTCAACGGTCAACAACTGATACACTGACAACCATTCTGTTTGTCACTTTCAGTAGAGCAGTCAATAAATTACATGAGATATCCAACACTTTATTATCAAACCAGCTGTCCATCAGATGATTTTGCCCAACTAGAGGCTAACAATGGAAGTGTTCTGAGGACGTTTAAGGCAGGCTAACCTAAGCTACGGTATTCAGGAGGTAGGTTGGGTATATTGCACACATTTTTGACTTAAGGTATTTCAATTTAACAATCATTTTATTTAAGATTTTATTTATCTGAGCGTGAGAGAGAGATCACAAGCGGGGAGGGGATGGGTAGAGTGAGAAGCAGACTCCCCACTGAGCAGGGAGCCCGATGTGGGACTCAATCCTAGAACCTGAGATCATGACCTGAGCCGAAGGCAGCTTCTTAACCAACTGAACCCCCCAAGCGCCCTCAACTTAATGACAGTTTTATGCGGATATAACCCAAACCTAAGTCGAGACAGAGCTGTATACACACATACACACATCTATTTTAAAAACATCCCAGAGCTCTGGTAAAAGTCTTAATGTCTTCAGACAAAAAAAAGTCTCACAGGTCAATTAACATTTGCCCTTTGAGTACAATGTGATAGGGAGGACCTAAAAAAACAATTAAAGGGGACTAATAAGAATTTCTGGGAGAATGGTACCTGTATCTTACCCTGGACTTACACACACACACACACACACACACACACACACACACACACACACACATGTTTTAAAAGGCTGAGATACTTTGTTATGTGATGGTTTTATTTTAACTAAAACCATTTCTGATCACAGAATTTCTGAAAATTGTCTCTTTTTTTTACCATATTTGCTGGAAGAGGATTATTCTTTTTGTTGAAAGACTGAACTTTTCCCCTTCTTTTCCATAGCTTTTGGTTGAAAAAAAAAAGTTTCTACTAATGAAGTAAGCAGACCTCTAATATTTTATATGCTTTTCAGCTGTGTAATTTAATATTGGGATACTTCATTATTAGCTTATGTCATTGATAAAGTGGTGATGTGTATGAATATTAGTTCAACCATATATTTATAATGTCTGGGAATATGTGGCTATAATGGCTGTGGGAGAAATTATTTGGCAGTGTTCACTTGCTTGCAAAAACCTAGTGCAAGAGCTTAACTATCTAAATGCATATTGAAATGAAAAGAACACACAGAGTGGACTTAGCTTCTGGCTTCTAGACAAACCTGTGGGTTTCACGCCCCCATCCCACAGTGAGCTCCTAAACTTCACTGGGTAGCTAGAAGGAGCAACAGCATAAAGTGTGAGAGAGTGCTCAGCATTTTGCCCAGCACAGTGAGGGCTGAATAAGGCATCTATATATTCTATATTTACTAATATCACCATCATTATAATAATTACCGAGAGAACCATCCACGGAAACGCTATGTCAGAACAAAGCAAAGAACCTGGAGCATAAAAGTGAGGCTCACATTTAAAAGCTGCAAGAAGTCATGGGACAGCCCAGTGAGCAGAAGGAAACAAACAGAAAACCATTCTGGAGAATGAACCCAAGAGTAAGAGGCAGGCAAGGGGCATGGGACAGTTCTTGCAGAAGCTAAACCAGTGAACACACTGGAGATTCCAGGGCACCCCTTTTTGCATCAGTTTCCTCCCTGATAAATTGGAACAATGTTACCTGGTAGTGGGGTGATTACACTAATCAACTTCTAATAGCCAGTAGCACACAGCAGAGCTTCCAGAGATGTTAGTTTTGTTCTTGCTTCTCCCTTCTTGAATCAAGGAGCATTGGCTCTAAAATGGGAAAACTAACCTATACATAAACATAAATCCAAGTACATGAAATTTTACATCAACTACAAAAGCCTAGTGATCATTAAAAGTCCCTGGGAGGAACTGATCGTGGTTTGCTAATTAATTGGGTTTACAGAGATCAAGCACCACTTAACTAATCATTGCTCCTTAGAGGAGCAAATATGATGACTGTCACTTGGCAAATTTCTAATTTATACTCCTCTGGGAAGATCAGAAGAAATGTACACTCAGGAATCACGTTCTCCCTAAAGTTTCCAAGGATGAACAATTACCAGCTTCCTTGGATAAAGGGAAGATGAATCAGCTGGTTTCACTGTTAGCCGGCATGGACTGCAGGCGCTCCTATGCATCTTCAACCAATAGCTTTGTTAAGGATCAGACGTTGGAAAGCCAAGAGTAGATTTAAAAAATGGGTAAGTGGACCCAGCAATTGCACTGTTGGGGATTTACCCCAGAGATTCAGATGCGATGAAACGCCGGGACACCTGCACCCCGATGTTTCTAGCAGCCATATCCACAATAGCCAAACTGTGGAAGGAGCCTCGGTGTCCATCGAAAGATGAATGGATAAAGAAGATGTGGTTTATGTATACAATGGAATATTCCTCAGCCATTAGAAACGACAAATACCCACCATTTGCTTCAACGTGGATGGAACTGGAGGGTATTATGCTGAGTGAAGTAAGTCAATCGGAGAAGGACAAACAGGGTATGTTCTCATTCATTTGGGGAATATAAATAATAGTGAAAGGGAATATAAGGGAAGGGAGAAGAAATGTGTGGGAAATATCAGAAAGGGAGACAGAACATAAAGACTCCTAACTCTGGGAAACGAACTAGGGGTGGTGGAAGGGGAGGAGGGCGGGGAGTGGGGGTGAGTGGGTGACGGGCACTGAGGGGGACACTTGACGGGATGAGCACTGGGTGTTATTCTGTATGTTGGTATATTGAACACCAATAAAAAATTAATTTATTAAAAAATGGGTAAGTGTTCAGTGGGTAAGACTTTTTTGGGCGGCACCACCTGTGCGCAGGAACATGCCATGGAGACTTAGTTGGATGGAGGTCATGAAAACTGAACACACATGTGCAGAAGAAGTACATCCACACCCAACTCATGTGCTTAATACCTTTCCACTCATATTAAAACATGTTCTTTATTTAAAAAAAAAAGTAAAAGTAAAAGTAAAAGCTCCTACTTTCTCATACCTTCCAATTACATTTCCCAGAAATGTCTGTTAACAAGAAGTAGTATGTATCCTTCTCAGAATTTCTCCCATGTGTTGATAAATATCTGTAGGTACCATATTGTTGTCTTGTTTTACAGAAGCGGGCTAACTCTATACCAAGAGTACGATGACTATTCTTCAACGGACCAATTGTGGACAGCTTTTCATATTGGTATATATGAATTTATCTTTTTTTGTATTTAAATTGGGTTTTTAAACTTTTCACTTTAAAATACTTCCATACTTCCAAAAAGAGTTTACAAGTACAGTGAATTCGCACAGCCTTGCAATTTCTCAGGATTGATGTCTTGTGTAACCACAGTACAATCACCAAGTTGTGTCAGGAAAATAACACAATACTATTGCTTAATCCAGAGACTTTATTCAGATTCTATCCAATCCAGAATCCAATCCAGGATCGGATATGCCACATATGGCAATCACCTGCCATGTCCCTTTGTCTTCTGCAATCTGGAATCATTCCTCAGTCTTGCTTTGTCTTTCATTTTTGAAGAGTACTGACCAGTTCTTTTGTAGAAGGTGCCTCAATTTGGTTCTGTCTGTTATTTTCTCATTATTAATTTCAGTGTATGGGCTTCTGGCAAGAACTCCATTGAAGCAGTGGATGACTTCAGGGCTGGGGCAGAGATAGCACACGATGAGAACATCCCGTGGTGCCAAGAGGTAAGGCAATGCTCAAAAAATGATGAGTAAATGTTGAAAGGACATACAGCTCAACATGAAGGACACCCCAGTGGCCAAATCCAGACAAAACTGAGCAAAAAAAAATAATTGTAGTTATTGATCTACATATAATAAAAACGCCTGCGTTTATACCAATGTGAATAATTACATTTTTTTTAATGGAAAAGAAAGGAAAGCTCTTCTTTCCATTTGGATTCCAACTGATAAATATAGAAATAATGATGAGATGGACAACCACTGTTGTGCAAGCACCAAGAGTTAAACAGTTTCAAGCGAATCATCAAGGATGGTGCTAAAATTAGTCAGGTACAAGTAAGATGAGAAACCCAGTATTTACATAGTTTCAAAATACCTCCCGACAAGATACTGATTAATAATAAAGGGAAAAACAGTAACTTTACAGTGGAGAGACCTGGCAAACATAAGTTGATGAGAACACCAGGTTGACCTTCATCGAGTGATCAAGGTCATTATCACCAGTTATGGGACAAACCAAAGTCATGGACCTCCTGATCTGATGCACCCTTTCTAGTGACTGCTGAGCGGGAGGTTGTCCAGCAGTGAGGCTATCTTCCAGGTCCTGCTATTACATCAACGTTGTACAGCGAGTGTCTTTTGCAACTTGTTTTACGGTTTCTCGAGGACAGACTCATCAGGAGCGCACACACTATCAACTTTTAGAAGTCCTGCCAAACCTTCCTTCAACAAAGTTGGTCTGATTCATCAACACCCTGGCCCCCCAGCAGTGCAGGAGAATACCCATTTTCCCTTGCCAAGTTCATCGCTACAACTTGCTAGAATACCTAATGCACGAGCAAAGGAAAGCAGCTATGGCTGTGCCAGCACAGGGGCAAGGTACTGTGAGCAGGATCCAGGAGAACAAGGGACACAGCGACATCTGGACATGGAGGTATTTTCTGAGGCTTAACAAGGGTGGGGCTCTGGGCCAAAAAGGACCCAAGTGCATGCACATGTACAAAAAATACCAGAGAAACGACTCTAACGTATCTGCAGGATGCCATACTCATTTGCTATTTGGGAATGAGTCAAGAGTTTGAATTTGCACCAATCCCCACTGGGCCTCAGCTCCAGACTTCAAAATAACAAGCCTAAAACAATAGTCATGTAGTAATGAAAGTTTCCCAAACTTGCTAATGATAACTCCCAACCTTTGTGTTGTGTTTTATAACCAGCTTTGCATCACTTTATGGACATTTCATAACAACTGTGAGAAAAGCATTACTACCCTTTACAGGTAACAAAGAGCAGACACTCAGTGAGAGGACGTAACTCGGCCAGGGTCCAACAACTAGGCAATGAGAGAGGCATCTGGGGTTTGGAAGCCTAGGTCAGAGTTCATCTGGAGAGCAGCGGTTCTCCAGACCTGGGCTATTACCTTGCCAGCAGTTAAGTAAGGGCCAGGCTAAGGACTCCCACTGGTTTATGTGACTTCTAGGCCCATGCCCTTGTGACGGTACTGCTGGGGCTCTTATCTATGACCATAAAGACCTTGTTTCATGCTGACTGTGCCCTGGGCAGTGGGCAGGGAGGGGGGGAAGAGAGCTAGCTTGTTCATGCTGCCTGCTGCCTCCTCTGAGATAAAGAAAGGTGAAGCACTGGCACCAGGGCCAAAGCCCTCCCTTCTCCCCTACATGATCAACCTAATAAATTCTCAGTCACGATCACCTGCTGTATACAAGCTGGCTAGACCCTATAGACCTGCTTTATGAGCTGGTTTGGAGTAAGACAATCCATGAATAAAAACCAAAGTGATAGATAGCTCAATACCCGACGATGACGTCAGTGATGGTGAGACAAGACACACAGCTGGACGATAAATAACGGGGCTGAGAAAGACAGTGACTGTCAGAACTAAGTATCTGCCCCTCACAGCTACCCTGCCACTGAGGCAGGGGCGAAGGAGCCGTCGGAGGACAGAGGGGAGGAGGATGAGGGCAGAAGGGAAAACTGCCAGCAGCTACTAAGCACCTACTTAGTGACCTCACTTACCTTTCTCTAACAACCCCCATGGTAGGCATTATCCCCATGTGGACAGCAAGAAATGAGAGAGGCTTCTGGTATTTGGAAAGTACGGCTCAGAGAGGGTAGTTAACTTGCCTAAGGCACCCAGGTACCGAGGATAAAACAGAATGAAATACAAAGTGATAAAAATACCAGGATAAAAACCAGCTGTAGCTGGAACTGAAGTCAGGGTCCACGAATCCCCCCTACCGGGCACCAGGTTTTTGCTGCAATTCACGAGAGCCAAAGGCATCGGACTGTATAATACAATCCAGAAGATGGAACCTGATAAGGACTGAATTGTGTCTCCCCAGAAATGCTATGCTGAAGTCCCAGTCCCCAGTGGGATTGTATTTGGAGACAAGGCCTTTGTGGAGGAAATGAGGGATAAGAGAGGTCATAAAGGTGGAGCCTGGAGCCCAGAGGCCTAGTATACTTACAAGAGAGACACCACAGAGCCTGGGTATTGTCTCTCTCGCTCTCGCTCTGTGAGGAAGCAAGAAGGGGCCCATCTGCATGACAGGAACACGTCGATCTTGGACTCTCCCATCTCGGAACCGTGAGAAAATGAATTTCCTGCTGTTTACACCACCCCACCTGTGGTGTTTTGTTATGGCCGCCCAAGGGGACTGCAACTTGGCCAGTCTATAAATCAGACCAGTGGCCTGATGACTGTGTTCTTTGAGTATGCCCTCATCACTTGTGTTTGCGTATAGCCCCCAAATTTTGCTTAAATATTTAAATTCTGTGTGTAATTTATACACCAGGGGCGCCTGGGTGGCTCAGTCGGTTGGGCATCTATCTGTCTTCGGCTCAGATCATGATCCCAGGGTCTGGGGATTGAGCCCCATGTGAGGGTCCCAGCGTGGCAGGGACTCTGCTTCTCCCTCTGCTCCTCACCCTGCTCATGATTTCTGTCACTATCTCTCTCTCTCTCCCAAATAAATAAATAAGATCTTATAAAAAAATTTATACCCATAAATGCCTGTATTCCTATAAAACCTTCATAAACGAACCCATTTTCTCAGAAGGGAATAAAATAAACAAAACATTGAAGCTGGAACATTTTCTTCTTTCATCCCGTTTTGAGTTGAACTGTGTCCCCAGTTCAGGTACATTGCAGCCCTAACCCCACCCAGTACCTGTGAACGTGACTGTATTTGGTAATGGGGTCTTTGCAGGAGTCAAGTTAAGATGAAGTCATCCTGACTAGGACAGACCTAATCCTTGTAAGAAAAGGGAAGTCTGAACATAGACACACCAGAGAGAAGCCCATGTGAGGCTGGAGGTGGAGACGGGAGAGCTGTAGCCACAAGCCAACATAGGCCAAGGACTGCCAGATGCCACCAGAGGCTGGGAGAAGAAGGACTCTTCCCTAGAACCTTCAGAGGGAACTTGGTCCTGCTGACCCCTTGATTTCAGGCTTCCAACCTGAAGAACTGTGAGAGAATGAATTTCTGGTCTGTAGCCACTTAGTCGGTGGTCCTTTGTTACAGCAGCCCTGACGAACTAATACACACCCCAATAAATCCACGCAGCCCATCCTGCAATGCTCTGAATAAGGAAGGTAAAGTGGAGAGCACTGTAAGGAGAATGGGATGCATGTACCATTTCTGCGACAGCTCACCATCATAATGACCATATTCAATAAGCATGATGGACTGTCACGATTTATAATCAATCACATTGCACCCGAAGACACATACAGGTTCTGCAATGGGAGTGACAAAAGGACTGTCACCACGCCCTGTCAGGAAGGTGAATTTTAGACATTGATACTGTGGCAAAGGGCAAAACAGTGAATGGCCAGGAAGGGGGGAGTGTGAAGGGTCGCAGGAAGCATGCCAAACGTGGCTCCTGTGGGGTAATGGCACAGAGGAAACCCCCCAAGAAGCCCCGGCCCATGTTTTCTCCCCAGGCTAGCCTCACTTCCCCGTCTATTTTGATAAGGCTGTTTCCACCCCACACAGGCACACGCCCCTGCAGACACAGAGGAGCCCAGCACACCCTGGGGACCGGCGCTCAGTGCGGGAAAACCCAAAGCGTCACCCCCTCCTGCTCAGCAGGCTGTGGAAATGGGCTGCCGGCGAGCCCCCCGGGGTGCCCATGGTTGTGGGCCGCGGCAGGAGGAGGTGAAGACAAGCCAGCAGCGAGTGTCAGATGCAGGCCGGTGGCCCTTCCGGGCACAGGGTCGCAGGTGGGCGGTGGGGCGGCCCGCTCTGGGCCTCCGAGTCACAAGTTTGGAAACCTGCTTCGAGCTCACTTGAGCGAAGGAGACAGGGGTGGGAAATACAAAAATACACCCCCGAGTATTCTTTAGGTTTCAACCTGGGAAGAGGAAGCATATCAGTGATTTCAATAAGCAGAATTTCAGATAAAGAACCATTTACTGAAAGGGCAAAAGGGGGTCCTGAGGCCTCCGAGAAGTAGTGGCTGTTCAGAGCAGCACATTCTCCCCCTTAGGGATGGGGGGTAAGAGTGGGATTATGGGAAGCCAGGCAGGCCCTGTGGGGTCTTGGCTGGGGGTGTCACTTCTGAGAATAGCCAGTGCAAGCTGGAAGCCACTGTTGCTCCTGGGACCAAGCGCTGCTGCCAGGGGAGGAAGTGTTGCCACAGTGACAATGTCAGGAACAGGGGGCCGATGGCAAGGGAAAAGACCCTCCTCCCCCTCACCCCCAGGCTTCCAGTCTCCCTTGCAGCAATCGGATCTGGCCATGATGTGCTTGCAGTCCTTTGGCGCTAGAATCAGAAGCTGTGGACTGACCACTGCTGCCTTTATATTCGGCCTACACAGGGGCAAAAGCCAAACGTTTACAACAATGAGTCAAGCACGGACCCTGGGCAATCAGATAAGACACCGACCTGAGCAGGGCACCCAGGCCAGTGCATCACAGGGGGCGTCCTGGTTCCTTCGAGTTCCCCACCAACCTCCGCGGTCTGCCCACCAGATCGACGTCACTCGCTCACGAGTTGCGTGCCTGGCCCTGGAGACAAATGAGTTTGAGACACAAATGAGTTTTCCTGCAGAAAAGGAAAGCCAGCAGGGTCCCCCACACTGTATGTGAACGCCTTCGTTCCCATTCAGTGTGCGTCAAATTCTAAGAAAGCAGGGCATGTGTCTTGCCCACCGCTTGATTTTTCCCGACAAACTCAGAAACTGAATGGACGTAACCCTTCTTCGGTTTCAGGGGCTGTGTGAGTCACTGTTGAGGTGACATGGGACTTCCCTCAAGGGTTTGGTCTACTTAGGAGGGGCAGACAAGCAAGAGTTAAATTTGAAAGAAAGAAAGAAAGAAAGAAAGAAAGAAAGAAAGAAAGAGGAAGGAAGGAAGGAAGGAAGGAAGGAAGGAAGGAAGGAAGGAAGGAAGGAAGGAAGAGGTGGGCACGTTCTGATGTGATAAACCCAGGGGGCTCAGGAGTGTGGGAGGAAAAGGCACACAGTAGGGGTGACATGGGAAAAGCTACCTGTAGGAGGACAGGGAAGCCAAGAGACCAGGAAGGACACAAAGGCCCAGGGAGAGATGGGCAAAGACTGACATGCATGTGACAGCGTCATGGTCCACAAGCACTCTGGGTAGTCCACATCTCTGAGTCTCTGTCCACCTGTGTCCACCTCACATCGCTTTGGCTCGTGAGACCACACTGCCCACATGGAAAAGTCCAGTGTTCTCAGCCCACGGCTCTCTACCGACATGGACTTTTGGACCTCGTCATTCATCCCCTCCTCTTGCCAATCAATGTGGCTGAAAAAAAACAAGTCTGTTCAATAGGTGAGTGTGGTAATGGGTTACAGCTGGGACATCAGTCTAAATTCACAGTTAGCTTAATATAGGCCTGGATGGATATCTATGCAAATATTTATACACATGTGGGTCTCTGCGGGTTAGTATATATACTTCACACATATACTTCAGCACCATCACTGAGAAGGCCTAGGAGCAATGACATCCCGGGAGCAGTGAACACATCTAGGACCCGCAGCTTGGTTTCTAATATCAGTCTCTGATAAAACAAACTGGGCTCCTTGGGAAATGGCCGATTCTAGGTCTGGGGTAGGAAATACACAAGTAGTGCCAGAAAGTAAGGAAATGCTCAAAAACAAGCAAGCACACAAAAACTCTCACAGTAGTGGAAGGTATGTCAAAATAATGGGGGTAGGGAGAGAAGGTTATGTCCAAAGGACATAGGAGCCAATGGAAAGGGCTCCCAATGGCCAAAGCTGGAAAAACATGCGCCAATAAATAAAGTCACACTGTACTTTGATCCAAAGCATATAATTAATATCTATGATGCCATGTATATACACACACACACACACACACACACACACACACACACACACATATAAGCGGAAGCACAGGGCGTTCATGTAAGAATTATGCCACCTGGAATATTTGTTTCGATTTCTGCACCTGTGATGACTGACATGTTCCCATTAAATTCCTAAAAGCATTAATAGGCTGAAAAGAAAGCAGTGTGACTGTGAAATGTGTGAGCTGGGGGGAACCCTGGCAACGATTCAGCCACTGCCTAGCGTCATCACTGCAGATAGACGGGTTCGAAGACCCAAAGCAAATGGCCAATGAACACGTCAGCTCAGCGGCCACTCTAAGGGGTCTCCTGAGGAGCTGGACAACAATGTCATTTGGTCCCCAGAACAGCGGAGGCTCAGAAGCACCAAGCAACTTCCTCCCAGGAGAGAGCTGGCAGGCGGCAAAGCAGAGGCCAGGGCTCAGGTCTCCCTTCAGGGTCCCTTTCAATGCACCTCCCCTGCCATGGCCAGTCACCATCCCAATTCCCTCCCACTCCAGCAGAGGCAGGGACTGATATCAGGGCAGGGGCAAGCTCTGGGAGGATGGCCCCTCAATGGGTTTTTCTGTTTTCTTTTTCCTCTTATTTTTTTTTTTTTTTAAGATTTTATTTACTTATGAGAGACACAGAAAGAGAGGCAGAGACAGAAGGAGAGGGAGAAACAGGCTCCATGCAGGGAGCCTGATGTGGGACTCGATCCCGGGTCTCTGGGATCACACCCTGGGCTGAAGGCAGCGCTAAACCGCTGAGCCCCCAGGGCTGCCCCTCATTTCCTCTTATTTTTATGAAACTTTTCCTGAGTCCAACATTTTTAAAGGTCCCCTTCCCCACCTGATTTCTCACAGGCCTTACACCAGAGTGCCTCTGGTACACAACAGCAGAAAGACGGCCATATGAGTCCTTGAGGCTGAACCCTGTACGATGCTGGAACAGGTCAATTACTTAGTTTTAATAAAGGTTTCATCTTTGCAGGGAGGTTAAAAAAAATTAAAAAACCACAAACCAGAAACAAAAACAAAACCCACAGGCCAGCTTGCATCCATCCCACTGATGGGTGTTTTCTTCCCAAAGGTACCCACCATATCTAGCTCGGCCAGAGTGACTAAACTAGAGAGAAAATGGCGTGGAGCAGAAGAATGTGAATTCCCAGCAAGCTGGTCATTACTCAGAGTGACAATGGGGACCGAGAATGCAGCAGCACGGGCTTCTGGAAGCTGCCCACGTCCCAGAGGAGCCACATGGGGCTCTGTCACTTAGCTCATTATAAACCAAGGATAAAACCCACTGGAGCCAGCAACCCAGACAAACCTAGATCCCAGAGGGGCAGGAAGGAAAGGGTTTTTCACTGGAGAGGCTTTGGTGCCCAAGCTGGGAAGCTGCTTGCAGGGGACTTGGGGGTGCCTGGGGTAAGAGGTACCAAAAGATACCCTGGGAGGGACTGACCCAGGATACAGAGCACTTACTTCAATTTAGCAAATGGTTCTCTCGTTAGTAAAAGCTTCTAAATGTCAGCCTCAGGTTACAAAATAAAAGGAACATGAAATTATGCAAAAGCACACAGTACTAATCTGTGTGTCACGCACATTTCACGTGGGAAGACGCCTTCATTTACCACCTTGGCTGTGTTACTTAACCTCCAACCCCTCACACGTTCTAGAAAGAAACGAGATGATGGAAATGGAAATGGAAAGTGTTGGGGGCGCCTGGGTGGCTGGGTCGGTGAGGCATCTGACTCTTGATGTCAACTCAGGCCATGATCATGGGGTTATGGGATCAAGTCCCACGTTGGGCTGTGCACTGGGCCTGGAGCCTGCTAGAGAGTCTGTCTTCCTCTGCCCCTTCCTCTGCTGGTGCACACTCTTTTCTCACATATTTATCTCTAAAATAAATAAAATCTTTAGGGGCACCTAAATCTTTGGGGTTGCTCAGTGGTTGAGTGTCTGCCTTTGGCTCAAGTCAAGATCCCGGGGCCCTAGGATCAAGTCCTGCATCGGGCTCCCTGCAAGGAGCCTGTTTCTCCCTCTGCATATGTCTCTGCCTCCCTCTTTGTGTCTCTTATGAATGAATGAATGAATGAATGAATGAATGAATGAAATCTTTAAAAAAAAAAAACCTTAACAAAGAGATACATATATATGGAAAGTATTGCGCTTTCTAAAAAGTATTTATGGAAATTATTAAATGCAGGATTCATATTATTGGTAGTACTGGTATTGCTCTTTTCACGATCACACGAGTACTGTGCCCCAACTCCACTTCTACCCCCATAAAGGCAGCGTCTTGTTAGTGGTGACTCACGCGGCTGCTAGCCCTCCCAGTGCTCAGCCACTTCAGGAGGAAATGGGCTGGCTGGCTGAGAGAAAGCACACACGACCAAACTGTGCAGCTCCCCGGGACACGAGGAGAGCCTCTGAGAAGAAAGGCAGCCCAGTGGGTCACCGAGAGCCAGGCCTGAGGTCCAGAGCCGCTTCTACGTCCAGGAGCCTGATGCCATGACCACGGGAGCGTTCAGTAAATACCGGATTCTGTGTGAGCAAGGAATTGAGGAAGAGAGGCAACACGAGCTGGGCCCGGCTCCGGGAAACCCTGCAGCACAGGACACAGACACAACAGCAAGAGTCGCTCGTACGGTCACTCCAGCAGGCACCTCATTTTAAAGATGGGGTTGTGGCGGTTCAGGTGTCAGTCAGGACCCAACATCTAAAGAGGAGTCTCAGGGCCAAAGCAATCCAACCTCCCTACAGATGCCACCAACGGAGTGGCTTAAATGGCAGACATTCATCTCTCTCGGTCCTGGAGGTTGGACATCCCACACCTAGATGCTGGCAGATTTCAGGTCCTGGTTTGCAAAAGACACTAGTCTTCTGGGTTTGTCCTCACACTGCGGAGAGCAGAGAGGCTCTCTCCTGTCCCTTTTATAAGATCATTAATCCCATACTGAGGGCTCCGCCTTCATGACCTCATCACCTCCAGAGGCCGGGCCTCCCCAGACCATCTGCATTCCAGATTGGGGTTTGAACGTACTCATTTTCGAGTGGCACAAACATGCAGCCCGCGACCACGGGGATGCATAAAGCCAGTCTCCATTTCCAGGTTGCTTTCGGAGCAAGAACGGTGGCTCTTCCCTCCTTCACTGCAGGCCCCCTGCGGGTTCTCAGTAAATGCTCCAGGACGAAAAGACAGGAGAAAGGAGGGCGGAGAACTTTATAAAATGAAAGTCCTTAAGCAGACGGCAGTGCTTATGTTGTTTCCTCAAGGAGACTGGGGAGCCCTTGAAAGAGGAGTACTCTCTGCTTTGTTTCCAACTTTCTAGTCCAAACTCAGTGTCCTCAAAGTCGGTCAGTCCAAGAAAACATTCCCCAAGCGTATCCTGTGCGCCTGTCATTATGCCAAAAGCCAGGACTGGAGAGACAGCAAGACCCACAGCCTTCTCTCAAAATATTTACAGTGCAGGGGAAAGAGCTGATATTTCAGAAAGTCGTATGCTGCTTCTGGAGACGACGAAGCCCCCTGGGGACATAATAAGAGCCGAAGTGACAAAGCCTGGCCTTTACCCTAATAATAATTATAATAATTATCATGCATAATGACAACTGCAGTGGCTGTCCATCTGTGTGGCCAGCTGCTGGATCGCTGGGACCAACAGAGTCCCAGAAACACTTTTGTTTTCTGGGACCGGCCGGGACACGGTGCCCTGCCTCCGCGTAAGCCCATGGTGCCACTGCTGAGGAAGCTCGGCGTCTGCTGGCATGGCAGATATGATCAGAAAAACACAAAAGTAGGCGCATTTTCCTCTAGACTTACGATTCCCTCTTCTGCATTTGCCCTCACATTCTGACATTAATTGAACTCTGTCTTTACTACTAAAAATAAACTCCAGGTCAAATGCAACGAGCCAAAAACCTCAACATGAAACCACAAGAAATAGAGTAAATAGCAAAATGGGCCTAATAGCAGAGGTGTGTTGGTGGAAAAGCTTTTTCTGTTTCAAGCCTCGAGTCCCGAGTGGGCAGGGAGTTCTTTCAGTGCCACAGACGAGTATAGGAGGCAACCGCACAGCTGTGGCTAAGGACCAGGGCTGGCTCCTGTCCACAGGCGGGCAGGCAGGAGCTCTCGGATGCCCTGCCCCTAAAGGTCAGGGCTGGGGGCAGCTTGAGAATATCAGGCAGGAGCCGAGAGATGCTCCCAGGGGGAGATGGTACCAGGAGAGCCCAAACGAGCAAGGTGAGGGGCAAAGGGAAGACGGCAAGCCTGTGTGCCTGCCCAAGGAGGGGCGGGGATGAGAGAATCACCTGTCAGCAGCTAGACAGGTAGGAGGTGGAGGAGAAGCCAGCAGCAAGGGCTCCCTGCTGCGGAGCTCCTCGACCCAGTGCCTCCAGGGTCCCATCTGCCCTCATACCCCTCTGCAATGGGAACAGCTTGGTCCAGCCCTAATTCCAGCGAAAAGGGAGCTTCAGGGAAAAGGGGGAATCACAGAAGAGGCTGCTGCCCTCTCGCTGGACTCCTGCTTCCCAAGTCACCTACCTGGACCAGGAGCGCGGGCTCCTGAAACAAAACGTGAGCCCTGGCCAAGTGCCAGGGAGCCGATAGGCTCATGGCAACATCCACAGCGGGCCTGACAGCTGCACTCAGTGTAGACAAGTTGTGACCCTGAGGTGGGAAATCGGTCCTGACATGTCAGTGGGGGGACACAAGGGCTCCGGGCTGCTGAGCATAGGGTGCACAAGCACCCCCACCCCACCCCCCACCAGCTGCAAATCAGCTCAGCTCCTACTACGTCTCACTCACATGCAACTCCCAAGAGCCTCCCCCCACCCCCGCCCGCTCTACAAAGCCCCTGCGGCCCTCCCCTGTCTGGGGGGGGGGGGGAGTCTGGAGAACCCTACGTGTGTCACAGGACTGCTGGGGACACAGGAGATGAAACACAGAAATGCACTCGGACACATTTAAGGCACAAGGGAAAAGGCAAAGGGGCACATGAATTCCATTCTCTGCTGCCCTCTCACTCTTCCTCTCCTGTCTGCTCACTGGTCCCCATGTGAACCATGTTTCCTTATTCCATTGTGATTGATTCTTTTCAATGTCTTGTTTTTTTAAGAAAAAACAAAAATTGCAACTGACCTCATTCTTTGCTCTAAGTCTTTAAAGACTTTCTTCTTTTGGTTCTCTCTCTCTCTTTCTCTCTCACCTTCTGCTTCCTTTTTAATTGTTCATTCCTTTGTTCTTGCAATATCCACAGTAGTGTCAGGTGGCGTGTCAGGCAGGTGGGGTGTCAGGATGTGGAGGACAGTCTTTTGCTCTAAACAAGCTCATAAGTGACTGGGGGCATGGGAGTGGGTGGGGGAGACACCTGACAGTCTGAGGGAGGCATGCCCTAGATCGCCAGCTGCAGTCCGCCGGAGGAAGTAATGCACTCTGCTAGGGGTAGGGAGGTCTGTGCACCATGCACACATCGTTTCCCAGAAAGACCTGGTGGTAGCTGAAAGTCAAACAAAAGAGCAGACCAAAGACATGGAAAGAGCCTGCTGCATGAAAGGAACTGAACATGGTGTAGTTAAGAAGTTAAAAAAAATGAAACCCCAGGGTGTCTGGGTGGTGCTGTTAGTAAGTGTCTCACTCGTGGTTTCAGCTCAGATCGTGATCTCAAGCCCCACGTCAGGCTCTGCACTCAGCAGAGTCTGCTTGAGATGTTCTCTCTCCCTCCATCCCTACCACTCATGTGCTCTCTCTCTCTCTCAAATAAATAAATAAATCTTAAAAAAAAAAAAAAAAAACCACACACACACAAACCCTCCTGTTTTGGAGCATTTCCTCCTTCATGTCAGGCAGCATGCTAAACTATCTCCACTATCTCATTCAATACCCACGACATCCTCTTGAGGCAAGAGCTAATATGATCCCTATCTTACAAATGAGGAAACCGAGGCTTGGAACAGCTGAGTGAGCCACCCAAAGTGGCAAAACTAGGAAAACCCAGGTCTGCCCAAAACCCCGGGTTTTCACCTCTTCCTTTACCCCAAGCAGCCTCTGACTTGGTGGAACTGACCATGCAGTGCAAGGGGGTGGGAGGGAGACAGGGGATCCCAGTCTATGTACCCTAAAAAGGTGTTCTGCTCCCAAAGCACCTTCTCATCTTCCCCCAGGGCAGTCCCCACACGTCTCGGCAGGACAGCTGGAGCATCTGCTACCTCTGCCAGGAGGAAAGTTGCAGGGTGTCCACATGGGAGGTGGTGGGCTCCATACTTGGCTAGGCTCAGAGGGAGAGCTCCCAAAGCACAAGACTGAGTCCACTGAATGCCAGGAACCAGGTCCCAGGTGTCAGGGTGAGGTTACGGGAAGCCAGCTTCTCAAACCAGCACAGGAAGTCAGGCCAAAAAGTCAAGAACCACGACCCTACTTGCATTGCAGGAGATCACCGATTCCAAAGGCTATGTTTTGCTCCATAAAGTTCAAGAGGAGAAATCTCTTACCTTTCTCCAAATCCCAGAATGGTCCAGCTTCATTCAGGGGAAGACAATTCTCCAGTTCCTCTAGGGTACCAAACGGATATGTATATTTTTCAGACTGAAGGCACCAAAATCCGAGGTATGACAGGATTCTGTAAATATGCCAGAAAAGGACAGAGAAGTATTAGTATCAACACTCACACTAAGCGAATTTGATGAGACGTTCCATCCGTTTGAAAAATACAAAGTGCCTATTTACTATATGCTAGAGGAGAAGCCTCAGAAGAGTAGGCATTTATTTACTGAGCAATTATTATGGGGTCAAGCCCTGTGTTAAGCCATTTAATCCTGAGACCGGTTTTGAGGGCAACACATTTCAGAAGTCACATAAAAGGCCAGGCCAGACCTGAGAGTCACGTCTTCCTGCCTCCCAAGCCCTGCACACCGATCATGTACGTTCTCCTTCTGCACTAAAGCTTTTTCATTCATCTGAGCCCAGGAACTCCAGGTAGAGGGAAACGAGAAACATACTCAGTAACTAACTGCATTTTGAGAATGTGCTGTCCCTGGATGCCCAACCCACTCCACAGCCAGTGGGGATAATGTGAGCCATGGATGCTGTGTCAGATTAACTAGGTTGTAAGCTTTTATCTGAGCTCCACATTGTCATCTGGTAACATGTGATCGGTGGACATCAGGCATTACTCAGGGAACAAAAAAATGTTGCTTCGCCAGTTTTGTTATCCTCACTGATAATCAAGATGGCTACATGCAGTGGCCAAAAGGGAGGTGGGGGGAAAGGGAGCAAGGGGGCCGCTGCTGGTCTTCCCAGCTCTGGGAGGACCTTCTAGGATACTTGAAGCAGAGCCGGATGCTCAGCTGGGTGGGCTCGGACACCAACTCATCTCCTTCAAGGAGTGGTATGGTATGAAAAAAGCTACACTATTGGGGCGCCGGGGTGGTCAGTTGGTGAAGCACCTGCCTTTGGCTCAGGTCATGATCTTGGGGTCCTGGGATCGAGCCCTGCGTTGGGCTCCCTGCTTGGCGAGGAGTCTGTTTTTCCCTCTCCTTCCACCATCCCTCCATGCCCCCAACCCTCACTTGTGAACGAGAAAGCAAGCCACACTGTTACACTGACAATGGGGGTGATCCTCACCATTCCAGGCCTCCCTCTTGCACCCCCTCAAAATCCCCAGCATCTTAGCCATCAAATCATCAAGAAGATGGAGCTCAGTGAACATGGACTCAGAATCCCTAAGACTGACGAATTCTGAGGAGCAATCTGTTCTCTTTCTCAAGTGTAGGAACAGCTGGAGAAATACCCTCATCCCACAGCCAAGAGCAGAGGCCAGGTGGCTTGGATTTCCCACCACCAATTCCTTTGCCCTCCTCCAGGAAGAATGTGGTCACAACTAGCTTCTTGGAGGCCCTCTGGTTATCACACGCCTCCCCGGGAGGTGTTAGCATCACGGACGGACCCACAGCAGCTCTGCAAGCCTGGGAGTGCCTGTCTCCTCCTACCAGGCACCAGTCCGCACCGCTTCACCTTGTCCCAGTTCCCAGCAGAAGAGGCTCACTCAGGGAAGTCCCTTGACTGGCCATGAGTGCAGAAGGATGTCTGTCCTCCTCGGCACATCCACATTCCAGCCATGGGCAGCCTCCCATACTTCTCAGGCATTTTTAGAGGTACTTTTTTTTTGCCTGTTGTCAAAATGCATTCGCCTTATTGCCTGAAAAAGGCAGCAGCCCTGCTCTCTGGTCGTTAAACAGCCTGGATCGGCATTCCAGGTCTACAAGAGTCTTGCGCAAGTTACTCTCCAAACCTCAGTTTCTCGTCTTAAAGGATTGTTCTCAGTGTTAAGTGAGAATCTTTGCAGAGCTTAGCACTGGGTCTGGCAGGTTGTGAATGCTTAGAAATGTCAGCTATTAGTAATACCACTTAAACAAATGCTCAGGCCTAACTCCTTAGTCTCCTCCCAATAAGGGAGAACAGGCCTCCCCCTCTTCCTATCTCAGTGTGACAGCTTATTCGACATAAGGGCTTGGTACTTGGGGCCCAGTGAACAAGCGAAGCCCATCAGAACCCATGCAGTGGATCACAACACTCACCCACCTCCCAGCTGTGCCACGGCATTAAACAAAATAGTGCACACAAGAGGTGCTCTATGAATGACAAGGTACTGGAGAACCGTAATGAATCAAATTAACATGCACCGTCTGTATAGGGCACTTTGCTGAGGCACATCCCCATGGGACCACACTGAGCACCCACAGTGACCCCAGGAGGTCAGGTCACAGCATGAACCTCATCCCCATTTTACAGACATGGAAACTAAAGCTCAGAGGCACTGAGGAGGCTGCTGGCACCAAACAAGGAATATGCAGCTGAATCACTGGCTTGCAAGCTCACTCCCTCTCCTTGAAACGGGGACAGCAGTAACATACAACATCAGCTCCTGCAGAAAAAGAACCTCTTTCCAAGGCAGCCAAATTGATTAATGTTTTTAATTAATGTTTTCAACCACACACACACGGAGCAATGTTCCATGGAAGATGAGGAACTACAACTTCCAAGTTTCTGCCAGGAGCCAGTCCAGCCAGGTGGTCGTTGCCAGGGCATGGGAGGAGGAGCCCTGGGCCGGCCGGGGTGGTCAAAGCGGGAAGGTCACAGCCCTGCCTCAATGCACGGAGCCTGGCAGGCAGTACGATCACTTCCTACCCACGGAGGTGAGCCAGGGATAAAGGAGACCGGCCTAGCACAGGGTGACAGGACTCTCTTGGCCACTCCTCAGGAATCCATCAATCCCAGCAGAGGAGGGAGCTGGGTGCAGAGGGAGGCCTGACATGTAGCAGATGCTTGGAGCCTAGGCCTAAAGGCTGAGGTGGCTGCTACTCCCAGAACCTCCTGCCTGACTCTGCCCCAAGGACAGATTTCACCTGCTCTGCAGTTACCAGAGATACCTGCACCTGAACTAGGTGGTCACAGACATTCTCAGGATGCTGACAATGCTTCCCTGATGTCGCTCGGGATCACTGCTGGGCCCTGTGCTACGTTCAGATGAATAAGGGATCAGGAGGGCCCGTGACAGGCAGACTCGGGACCCCGAGGTCCCTAGGAGGTAAGAGGCAGACTGGGACCCAGAGATGGGCCCTCTGCTGTTGTGCTTAGGGACCCCCTGCCCTTGCTCTGCCAGTGGAATTCCAAGTGTGTCCTGTCTCTAAATGTCCTCTGTACAACTTGAAGGCAGGGCCTATCACCTTCCTGTCTCCAGCATGAGGGGCAGGAGTGTGACATACATCCCTGAATACTTTAATCACCAGCTCTCCTGTGAACGTGGCCCCCACACCACCGGGGCAGCTGGCCTTGAATGCCACTTGGGCGCTGCCTGGGCAGTGGGGCCAAGTGGGCACACTGATGGCAGCCAGGACCAGCCGCCTTCTAGGTGGGGGACCCGGGGCCACTAGGCAGGAGAGTGAGTAGGCCATGAAATGAGAGACTACACAGGGATTCCTGACCTGGAAATCATCAAAACGCCATCCATTCACTGCAAAGAGACCACAGAGATGGATTATGGCACCTACAGGAGCAGAGGACAGGACAGCTGCCCCCCCCCCCCCAAGAAGCTGCTGAGAGCAGGCCCTGGCCTTGGGATGTGTTTGCTCCCTTTGGAGAAGACCTGGAGGAGGGGCATAAACACAGGTACGTCAGCAAAGCCGGTGAGGTCAGCAAAGCCGGTGAAAACCTCCAGCCTGGCTCAGCGCTGGACCCCTGCAGTGATCCCAAGTGACCTCATGCAAGTACTGTCAGTACTGCCCTCAATGCAATGAGATCCAGCAGGGCTGAACCCAGAGGCAGGGAGTGCGTCCAGGTCACGGGCTGCTGGGGTCAGAGCTAGTCCCTACCAGCTAAGAGCTGTGCAGCCTGGGCAGTCTACTTAACCTCTCTGATCATCAGGTGCACATCAGGGCTCCTAAGAACAGTTACTTTCCTGGACCAGGGGCAAGGATGCATGCAGGGTGCACAGAGGGCTGAGTATGATGCCCGGCTCAGGGTAAGTGCTTGAATAACATTGGGTTATTTCCAGAGTCGTACATGCTGTTATAATCCACGTTGCTGGGCCAGCAGGTCACACAGTCTCTGATTTCAATCCTGGGGCTGCCACTTCCTAGGAACGTGACCATGGACCACTCACTTGACCTCCCTATACCCTAGTTTGCTCATTACCAATGCGCCATGCGGGACCACCAAGGACTACAGAGCACGAAGTAAAGCAGGCGGTACGGCATGAACTTTCCGGAATGAGGGCCCCGGCCCAAACTGAAGGACGTTCTACAAAGCAAAACTTGGCAAGGACTCTTCAAAAACATCAAGGTCAAGAACAGCCAAGGAAATAGTGTATGATAAGGGCGGGGGGGCGGGGGCTAAGGAGACATGGCCACTAAATGCAGGAGTGATCTGGAATCAGGAAAAAATAGTCCCAAAGGACATTATTGGGGCCGCTCACAAAACTGCATGCGGCCTGTGCATGAGATGATACAATTGCAGCCATGCTGAATTTCCTGAGGTTGATCGGTACATGGTGCTTATATAAGACAATGTCCTCGTTCTTAGGAAATGCACGCCGAGTATTTCAGGATAAAAGGGCATGTCTACAACTTACTTGCAGATGGTTCAGAAAAAAAAATTGTGTGTGTGCACGCACGCGTGCGTGTGCGTGTGTGAAGGGGTTGGGGTGACAGTGAACTAACAGTGAGTGATTCCGTGTCTACGCCAGTTCTTTGTATCACCCTTGCAATGTTTTCTGCCAGTTTGAAATGGTGTCCAAATGAAAGATGACTGAGAGCCCAGGCGCGGGACAACAGAAAAACAGACCTGACCGGCTGGCCTCAGCCATCCAGGCGGGTAAAGCACAGGCCGTTCCCACAAAAACCATGTCACCTGCGGGATAAATGTTATGATGGATTGTGCAGAAAACTACAAAGGATAAAGCTGAAATTCAATTTGCACCACCACCCCCTCCTGCCAAGGAAAAGAAAGACAAATGGGTGCCTCCTGTATAACTACGCCCCAGGGCCCGGCTCTGCGGCCAGCATCTGAGCCATCAAGCGGGGCACCAGGGGGGCTGCAAGTGCCCCTGGAGGGGGGCAGGGA